ATTGTAGCCCTTTCTGTTAGTTGCAAAAAGCAACAAGAACAGAGTTAATCGGACATCTATAGAGTGAGATATGGTCAAAATACGAAAGTAGTGTAAATCTAGAAAATTATGACGAAAATCAATTAAACCCAATTAAAATCTAGAATTCTGATTTGACCCAAAAGACCTTTATTTAATTCAAATTAAACTTAAAAATACCAACCAAGAGTAATAAATAAGTGTAACAAAATATGTGTTATCAGTATACTAGTGCTTTTAGGCCTTCCTTTCTTACGCTCATTGAGACATCTGGGATTACAATTGGTCCTTGACTTGGTGGTATGAAATCCTCAATGTTGATCGGGTACCATTGCCCTGAGTATACCTGGCATTGATATATGGCACTTTAAACAGGATCACTGTATTCCATGGGATCATGTTTTGTAGTTATGCAAGCTATCACATGACTGCACGGGTACCTAAAAGAAATAAATTCACCACACTGACATATCCGTTTAGGTAATGAAACCGACCATTTCTTATTGCCCCGATGAATACGTTGGTTGTACAATTCTTGCACTTTAAATCTTGTCTTTTGAGGGACATTAAATGTCATCCAATGTGTGGTGGATTTTTGCTGATTTGCCACCCAGAGTACTTTGGTGTATCGAAACCCCCGAGCCATCTCCTCACGAGCCTCTTGGCCATAATTCAAAAATATTGCACCAATTACGCGTATGTGAGCCGCACCAAACATGTGATAGGAAGGTTTCTTGCACCCTTAAGAACCTTCCTTATTAACATACTCTGACAAGTTCGTGGACATGTGACCGAACCTTTTACCCTCTGTATCGTATGTGATACTCCATTTCTCTTTCGGAATGTAATCTATCCATACGGCTCTTTGAGCATGCTGCTATTTGAGGACTAACTTTTAATTTTTCTAATCCAGCATCAAAATCCAATCGCGAAGTTGTATGACCTGCATAGAATAAGAAAGACCAAAGCTTATGAAATATTCCATACCAGATGTATCTTAATAACATGAATAAGCCTAAACTATACCTAACTTCTTAAGTTGCTTCTTCAACTCCATATTCTTGAATTTGTGGTTGAAATTACAGAAGACATGGTATGCTTTGGGTGGTTGCCAACCTAATTCTGCATTGTTGACTGCAGATAGTATGGCCGCATGTCGATCAGTATTAAGACATATGCTTTCTTTTTGTTTCACATGTATCCGTATCAATGCTAAAAACCACGACCAGTCATCAAGATTAACCCCTTTTACAACAGTGAAAGCGATCGGCAACACATAATTGTTTCCATCCACAGTTGTTGCAATTAATAGGGTCCCCCAATATTTCACATATAAGTGCGTACCATCTATCTGGATATCGAGCTTGCAATAATTAAAGGCATCAACACACTGTTTGAAAGTCCAGAAGACCTTGTCGAACACCTTCCGAGATCGATCCAGTCAGTTGTCAATAAAATGATTGTTCAGATCTAGCTTTATATACAGCTCCTGCTGAAAATAACAACATGTAATCCAACCATCTTGGCAGAAAAGCATAAGATTCGTCCCAATCCCCATAAATTTTGACAATTGTCATTTGCTTTGCCTTCCACGCCTTCCTATATGATGTATGAAACCCATTATTTATTGTTATCCTTTCCTAGATTAGAGAGATTTTAACATTGGGCTCCTCCCTTATCATCTCTGCATGTGATCAAACAATTATTTATTAATAACTTCCAAAAATATTAATAGAAAATGCGGACATTTGACATAGTTAGGATCATTAAACAAATGAAATTAGAGTCCAGCTGCTTGTGATCTTGAGAAAGAGTATGGTTAATACAGTTATGTTCGTTAATCCATCCAATGTTACTTTTTTTTACATATGCCTTCACCCTCCACGGACAACCGTCGTTGTGATACTCCACCATACAAAATTATTCTATAGCCATCTGCACATCATGCTTGTTATCAAAACACCTGGTCCTTATGCAGCTTTTGGCCCATCTTCCAATGAATCGGTAGACAAACATGAATCGAAATCGTCTTCCACGTCGATGTCTGATGAGTCACTGTCCGGAATAACACCTTCATCCACCTCTTCGTCGAAGTTGTTCCTACAGCATGTCAGAACATACTCATCTTGTGTAGGAAGCATTTCAAATGACATTGGTGGCAGTGGTGGTGGCGGTGGAGGGGTGACACATACCTATATTCAGGATTCACCAACGGCTTTCTGCTAATGTCAATGGACTGAATGGAAGGGAGAAAACGTTGACTGTTAGACTATCCACCATAAATGTGGAGTCTGAATTATCCGGAATGCATCTATTACTAATGCGACATCTTCATCCTCAACAATATCCACCGGAACTCAACTTTCTTTACCCGAGGTGCATCGAGCAGTCAACCGAGACAATGATTGACCCCATTGTAATCTCAATTTCGTGTATATTGACTTCTTCAATTCATTAAAACTACATCATTGTAATCGCATGCGAAATATTTTCGTATCTCCTTCAAGAACTTGTCCATTAAGGCCAAAATATTTTCTCCCATTGTAGTATACTAAGGCAATTAATGAATCATTGCCATCACTCGTTTTGAAAATTTTTACACGAAAAATACAGAAGAAAGGAAACAATGCAAAATGTTGATAATTCAGACGAAATGTTGCAACTGATGGATGTAAGAAATGGGGATTTGGGGGAGGTATTTATTGAACTATACTCGCTGCACTGTTAGGTGAGTTGTACACGTGGCATGAAAGATAAACGTTGCTACTAACAACGCGTATTGCCACGTAACGCGTTGAACAGTTTAGCGAGTTGGAACCACTTGTCATCAAGCTTCCATATAACGCGCTGCACAGTGTAGCGCATTTAAGCCACGTGTCAAAAAGTGCCACGTAACGCGTTGTACATTGTGGCGAGTTTGGCCGCCTTAACAACTTTTGCAGACTGCGCAATCTGACTTGTTGACTGGCCTAACATGCTGCACTATTCAACGTGTTATGTGGCCTGGAAGAAACTGCCACGTGTCTAGCTGTAACTCGCTATGTGTTGTAGCGAGTTAGGTGACATGGCATTTTGGTATATTGTATTTGGCAGGTGGAATTCTAATAAATTATTATGAACAATGTGGCAAAAGTGTCGTTTTCCCCTTATAATAGGTCTATGCCATTGTTCAATAGAAAAGAGTCATTCTAAACCTGGAACAAGGTAGTTAACAACATACAAGGCTTGTATAATTTTGCATAATTACGCGTACTTGGAAATTCCTTATATTTTTCAATGATCCCCATCAAACATTCAGTCTGATAAGAGAAGATTTGCTGCAAGGGTTTACTTACAAAATCTCGTGCAAAATTACACATTATGATTATGATTTTTGTTAGGGTTTAGTTAACGACAGCAGATTCAACAAAGAAACATGACTTGATTTAGATTCTTCATAAATTAAGCAAAATGTGAAGAAACTGGTAGATCAAGCAAGTAAATTTGAAAAAAGATAAATAATGCAGAAAATTTTAAGAAAGGTAATTAGGGAACATTGAAGGCATTTTATAAAATTCTCGTAATATGATTTGTTATAATTACAATTTACCATTTTTTTCTCTCCCTGTAATTATGTAAAGGTCGATTCCCTTCATAGTTTTTCTCCCTTTTGTTATGTATCAATTCTTAACTCTATTTATTAAGTGTGATTATGTCATTCAAACTATATTACAGCAAGAGCATGGTTTTCAATTATGGTTTTCACAGGATTTTTAAGATCAACTTTATGGGGTTTAGGAACTGGTTTTGCAATGCAGCGGTGATTTTCATCCTGACTAATTGACAATACCAGTATTTACATGGGTTTCTACATTACAACAAACTACTTGACAAGCTAGTAACTGTTCCCTCCTTTACACATTAATTGAGACTCGAGACAGACAAAAAGATCCCTTCAAAGAGAAAAATTGAGTATTAAAGAAGCATATAAGGAGTATTTTGAATATATGATTTGTGCTGTCTCCTGACTAACTTGCATCTCGTGAGAATTTTTCGCTGGCCATATTGTGCAGACTTTTAAGTAGTAAAGTTGAATTAAACACTTATGAATTCATTTTAAAACTTTGATGGTTTCTTCATTGGAATAATTTCTTCTTCAGATGTAATGCAATTCATCTTATCTTGAAAATCTGATGAGAAATGGTGGAAATAGGCGAGATTTTGATAAAAAGGAAATCGCGTGAAGGAGCTAAAAAAGAGAAAACGAGAGTGAAAGAATATGTTGTCCAGTTAAGAATGTGAAAGTATAAGTTGTCGTTTTCTCATATCTTGTCACACGAGTTGAGATTCCCTCACATAGCCAAGTGTTAAATAAGATTCTAACATGAAGTGCTCGAAAGTCCAAAGTCCAAACAGAACATTTCTTGAGTCCAATGCACCGGTCAAACGTAAGGTCATATGGACTTTCTGCCATGATTGTGTTTTAAGATTCATCACTCCTTATATTTCCTAATTATTTTTAAAAGAGACAGAATCTTCTTACACAGGTGTAAAAATAATAAATCTTCCGCTCAATCTTAACTATTAATTTTGTACATTTAACAGTTATAATTTATTAAAAATTAATAATTAATTAATAAAAATAAGCGTGTGTTGATGGCCATCAAGGGTGCAGTTGTTAATAATTTCAAAACTACTAGAAAACAAGCGTCCAGGTTAAAGCTTGTAATGAACCCATGTCCAGACGTAATTTCAAGCTTACGTCATCAAAGAATCCTGATACTACTGTGTTACATCCAAACCAAACCATCTCAAATGAGAAAAGATGAATGTCCTAAAAAATATTCATTGAAATAAAAAAATGATAAGAATAATATTAATATTAATATTAATGAAGATAACATCACAAAGAATAGACCGAACCTTCCTTTATACAGAGATTAAAAAAGAGGGGAAAAAACACAGATTTACAGGGCTATACGTATATATATAAAAATATATATTTATAGCAGCTGTACCGTATCCACATTATAGGATGAATGCGAGGCAGCAAGCAGTGCTGCTCCAATGCCCGATCCATCTTTGGTGACCTTAAGAATTACATGTTTAGCAATATCTTCACCCAATATTTCGTTCAATGCTTCATGTAAGTACTCCCTAAACAATGTATAGCTAGAATATAAACCTCCTTCAATTGCCACAACTGTTCTTTTCATTTTCATATCACTTCTACGTCCACCTGTGATGCCACCGCTCCCATCCCTACCAATCTTCTTCAAGATACCAACAATACCAGCAGCTGCCAATCGAGCAGCTCTACGAGTAACCACATCACACACCTTCACCACAATTTTTCTTACCTTCAAAGGAACCTCAGGAATCTGAGACATCCCAAAACACCCATAACGAATGATTATTAGACTAACAAGCACACCACTCATTTAAGGACAAAAAATATGGTGTTTGACTTGTTTACCTCAAGGATGTCTTTAAGGATTCTAGCTACTTCTCTCAAGTCAGGAGAAACATCCTCATGCATGTCAGCCATCTTAGGAGTACTGAAATTGCATAAGGAAATAGTTGAAATCTAAGCCAATTCACGAGGGGAAGAGAATAATTAAACTCAGAACGTTCTAAACTTGATAATATGCATACAATTCGAGACATGGAACCAAAATATCGGAATCCCAATCTCCAAAAAAATATAATGTCAACCAAAGTCCAAGGTATTCGAGGGCATTTTTGTCCCTTTCACCATCTATTCCAGAAAAAGACACAAAGATGACTGATCAAATTCTTAAGTATGCATTTCAGGGCAAATAAATCCCGCCACCCCCACCTAATATATAGCAATGTCACTTTCCCAGAGCAACCTGAGGACCTTTTTTTTATAATTAAAAGAAATAATTATTAGGGAAAAAAGAAAGAATAATTGATCAATCATGGATCAGGCATTTACAATTGGTCAAAAATAAATAAAAAAATCAAGTTCCTGGCAATTAACAGAAAATCATAATAGAATTTCATGTATCTTCAGCACAGACTTGACCAAATAGATGTATACCTATGTCAATGTTAATATAATGTATATTAATTTTAAGTTGTTAGTCAGTCTCTTATATACACAGTGCATGACTGTGATACAGTACACACCTCAGTATGAAAGGTATGGAAAGCTTAGAAGAAATAGGTCCAAACATATCTGACTCTAGCGACATCCTGAGAATCACTCTCCTAACGATGTCACCAAGATACATTCCTGATATCATTTTCTCGAAACCCTGCACCAAAATCTCCAAAATCTGAGTCATCTTAAATCAAGCAACAGGATTCATGAGAAGCAGAACCTCACCTGATCATTTGGATTAGGGCTTTCAGCGTCTAAATCAATGTCATACAATGTTCTTGGTAAGTGAGATGACCAAAAGTTTCCCCATTCCATATTCACAACCTAATAAACAGAAGTTCAAAACAATAGTTGATAGACATTAAACAAAAGTTCAAAAATAAAAAAATAAAAAGAAAGAGTAAGAGAAAGAGAAATACCATGCATCCTGATGTTGTAAGAAGACCTTGACACTTGATAATAGCATCAGTCCGTTCCAAATAGCAGGCATTGGTACCAGTGCCAATTATTATAGCAGCAACAGTATCTGCATCATGATAATGTCCGAGAGCTAATGTTCCAACAGTGTCATTAACCTGATTAAAATGAACAAAAAATCATGTTTCAAGTAATACAATGAAACAAAAGGGTTTATTTTACATGACAGTATACACTGCTCCCCATATGAAATTAGGGACATTAAACAATCAAACCCTCTAAATTCAACAAGGCACTTGGTGTTTTGAAACATGTTTGATTTCAACTACAGAAAGCAGTAGACATAAAGACAATAATGGAGTTGATACGCAACACAATACAATTGCCTGTCTTGAATTAACTTATCATCAAACAAGTCATGTGCAAATAAGACAGTAAAATCTTCAGAAGAGCAGCAAGATAATGATAAACATAGGTAACAGTTAGCAAAATTCAGACATCCTATAAAAATACAAATTATATCCTAAAAAACAATATAATTTAATAAAGGAAGAAGTGATATGAGAAATTGCAAGACCCATTAATACCACTTGCATAATTATGATAAGAAAAGATAGAAACATAAATTTGGATGGTAATAAAAAAATTAAAAAAAAAATTAAAAAAAATGGTAATAAAGTGGAAAAAAAAGCAAAATGAAATCATAATCTCAGGACAAAGACAATTTCCTTACCAAGGCAGCCACCCTCATGTCTAGGCCTTTTCGTGTCAATGCTTCCTGCAAATATGCAGGAACATCTCTTCCTACCTGAGAACAAACAGATTTTGCACTTAATATTTATCATGTCATTCAAATATATAGCTTTGATATTTACTTCAATACTGTTGAAAGACAAAATGCAACTTGAATGGTTTTTCGGCACCTATTTTGTTAACTTACGGAGGGAGAATTAAATAAACAAATATTCATTTTTAAAGTCTAACTTGGTCATGAGAGTTAACCCAAAATCAATAACTAATTGTCACTACTCAACAAATCGAATACTTTAGGCCTACAAATAAATTAAAAAAAAATTCCGAAAACCTAACAAAATACTACCCTGTTCAAGATAAAGCTTTTTTCCCCTTAAACAATTGAAGTTAGTGATCAAGTTCTACCAATAAAATGGAACAAGAATTGCTGCTTTTCACAAAGATCACTATGAATATAAGCTTTTCACATTGAAACTGCTTGAAAGTCAATGGACTAACCATATCTACAATGGAAAACCCTTTCGTCCATTTTATTAAAATGCCTGAGGAAACAGACATTTGTTTCACAGGGAAAGAAAATGTAAATCCAAGTTCCCTTCTTCTGTCTGGTGAAAGCTCAGAACCATCACCTTCTTTCTCAATGAATTCCTTTAATGAAGAAGCAATGAAATGAAAGAGATCCTGCAAGCAGCAAAATCAATTAAAATCTGCTTTACTAAAAGAAACACACCCCCCCCCCCCAAAAACCCAAAAAAAAAAGAAAAAGAGCAAAAAAGAGAGCCAGAAAACACTAAAATTGTAGAGGATTGATTAAGTCACCTCGCTTGTGCTAGTCATTAGAACTTGGGGAATGGGCTGTTTCTCTACTTCATGTTCCAAGACAGAAGATTGTTGGTCACGTAAATGAACCCGCAAAACCCTGAAATTTGTACCCCCAAGATCTAATGCATAATATGTTCCTCTCTCAGTCCTGATCAAAAAAAATAAAATGTAAATATCACTTTTGTATTTGACCCATGCAATCATTAAACACGTGGATACAAACAAATCTATTTATCAACTACATTCCTTAATCAGTTAGAAGCTATGCTCTAGCATGTTCAGAAAATGCAAACATCAACATCTATAACTAAAGAAAACGATAGTGGTAAGTGCACTGTGCATGCTCATAGCACCATCTCCGGACTCCACTAGGTGAATCTTTAGAACCAGGCTCCCATTAAAGCTCAAAATAAGTATAAAGAGAATTATACAACAAAAACTTCAGGATTCTATAACTATTCCTAAAATTTTAATATTATCTGGTGTAGTGATATGAAACGTGTATCACATGTCAAATTTTCAAAACAGTACAGTGTTGAACAATATATATTTGATGTTGAAAAAGGCGAATGTTCTTATTTTAATATTTATTTTTTAAAAAAAAAATTCCCAATCGACCAATTCTAAAATGTCATTCTCGAACATAACTAAGGAACTTTCAAGGAATAAACAAATTAGCCAAAAAAGAAAACGGTTATAATAAATACGAAAGCTCCCACACAAACAAGAGAGAATAGTATAGTATTTATACACATTAAAAATAATGATAATAATAATAATAATAATAATAATAAATGAATGGAAACGGACAACATTCTACTAGAGCTTTAGATTTTTCCAATCAAATAAAAACAAGTAAACAAAATCCCATTCGCAACGAAGAAAACATGAGTATTATAGAATGGCACAGTTAAAAACACAGAAGAAGCAGAGGATCTCAAGTGTTGAACCCAATGATTACCCTTTAGGGAGATTATCAACGTAGGTGAGAAGCATTTTGAGCTTGGAACCACCTTCTGATGCCAAACCAGCGTGCATCTCCACAGCCATGGCGTCCACCACCTGCCTCAACCTCCCAACCGTCGTATCACACCCTTCCTCCAGTTCCCTCAACACTCCAACCACTTTATTCCACTTCTTCCTGCTTCTCATTCTACGCACCACCACCGTCGCAGCCACCGCACAAGCCACCGCCGCCACACTCACCGACACACCAACAACCACTCTCCCCATACCCTCCCCCGAACCACGATCAAATCAAAACTACATTGTACGACGCCGTTTCCGTACTTCCCTCTGATCGTTCACCAAGAACAAACGTCGCCGTTTGGTCATGCACGCAGTCGTCTGAAGACTCTATCCTCTGGCTAATCTAATTAAAAGAGCTCCCTCCTCCAATAACATTACGCTCCGGCAAAGCACTCGCCGGCGATTAGACTCCGACGACTGTTGCCTGAAAAGTGCCGAAGAAAGAGGGGAAAAAAAAGAGAGAGAAGAGAGACGCGGCGGCTTCGCACTATTAAAGCAATTGGAATGGACCGATACGGAAACTAATATGGTAAACGAAAAGACAGATTTGTCCCCGACAGGATGCAAAATTTCGGATTTGTCGTGGTTCTCTCGGCGCCATCTCTTTACCGTTTATGAGTGGGATTTTGATATTAATGACAACTTTGACTCGTGTTCGCGTGCGTTCTTTTTCACTCACTTGTTTTTTTTTTTTAAATTAAATGATAAAAACAGTTGTCAAGTAATATTTGATCTTGAAAAATAAATTTATTACAAATTAGTGACATTCAATGTTGGTCAAATCTAGATAACAAACTAGCAAGACTTTTAACTTAAGTTCAATAAATATATTTATTCAAATTGACCAGATGAATTATATAAAAAATAGTATATGAAACATGCGACATGATTATTTGCATTTGTGTCGATGAAAAAATTTGACATCTCATTTAAGAGTCATTGATCTAACGATTTTGGTTTATAAGCATGTGACAACGTTAATCTGTCTTGATCTAATAGCCCTCAAATGAGAAGTATTTGACATCGGTATCATTGTATCAACAGATCTTACCCCATAGGGGCATGTTCTTTTTATACTAGTGTAAGACTAACCGCATCTCAATCGTTGATGGAAGAAAATCATCAGTTGGTATTTGTAGTGTAATTAATGATTAATAAATATTAATTAATTCGTATGTCTTCCTAAATTATAACCGTTTGATGTACATAAATCAACAATTGAGATGTTGTGTAAGACTTATTAATCTTACATCGTTGTAAAATGATCCTGATTCATATGTGTGTGTGTGTGTGTGGTGGATAGGATCAAATGATCAATAATATGAATTATGTGTGGTGGATAGGATCGAATGATCAATAATATGAATTAGTTGGTTAAGTTTTCTTAGTTTTGACCTATTTAAAGTATTTTAACCATACCAAATAATGGTAGTTCAATTGGCGCTACGAAATTGAACAGGTGGAGATGAGAGCATGTATAGTATCATATTTGGGAGAAGTTTAAAGTCATAATCTTATAACCCACCGCGAATCGAATTAGTCACGAAGCAATAAATCAAATGAAATATCTCAATATAATCACAACGATTTGAAATTATTTGATTTATAGTACTCGGTCAATCATTTGGTTTACTTCGGTCCAATTTTAACAATATTGAAGAGACGTGCTTGGAAATGGAAATGGATCATTTCATGTGGAAAAAAAACATGACATGGTCATGTGGAATAAAAACATGACATGGTCATGTGGAAATATCACAACCGTACAAAAGTAAATCAACGGTTGTGATTTTATAACTATCTATTTTAATAATTTTTTCTCTCATCTTTTATTACCATTAAACTACCTTGTATGGTTATAATTTTTCACATAATCATATAATTTTTTTTTTAACTCGAGGAGATCCATTTGAAACTCCATGTTATATATGTATACTAGCAAAATTTTCATATATTTTCCAAATAAAGAAAATATTGATTATCGGTTACATAAAAATTTGAATTATAAAAACACACTTGATGGGTATTTGTTAAATTCGATACACACATATATATATGGAAATGTTATACTTACTACTTATTTTTCTTACTATCTGTTATTATCAAATTTTAACAGTTGATTTCTGTCAATCTAACAGTTATAATTTATTGTAAATTAATAATTGATTAATAAGTATGACCCTATAAATTATAACCGTTAGATTGACGAAAATCAACGGTTAAGATTTGATAGTAACAAGTAGTAGGAAAAATAGGTAGTAAGTATAACGTCTCCCATATATATATATATATATATATATATATATATATATATATATATATATATATATATATGAGAAAAATATTTCTCCGACAACTTGAGATAAGTTTATCTCCGGTCACCCTAAAACTACGTCGTTTTATTTATTTATTTTCTTATATAAATTAATTCACCGTTGAATGGTTATGATTTCTTTTTTTCTCTCTCTTCCTTTATCACCATTGATCCATCTTTGTACGGTTATGATTTAGTAGCCGGAGATAAAGTTATCTCCGGCAACTTGAGAAACGATAAACCCTATATATATATATATATATATATATATATATATATATATATATTTATAAATTTTTTATTTATAAATTCTTACAAAATATATTATATATTTCTGTAAATATATTTCTAACTGAATCTATTTATGGAAATACATAATTAAGTTCGTAACAGTTTATAAATAAAAAATTTATAAATATAATATTATATATATATATATATATTCCAAATAACATTATTATTAAATTCATAAAAAAAAAAAAAAAAAATAATCCTAATTTAATATGTAGTAGTGAGTAAGTTACTTTTTCAAAACTATAAACTTTAATGACATGATATAATTTTATTTTCACATTAAAAATTAAAATAAAACAAAGACCGCCTGGCTTTAATTAAGATGAAGCCGCGTCATAAATTTTAACGTAAACACAAAATATATCTTAAAAAAGGAGGGTTATGTTTACAACTTTTTTTGTTTGTAACTCTTACAACCTAAACTATGTTTTTCCGGAAGTACACTTTTCAGTAATGTACTCTTAGGAGAACACAATTGAAGTTGTAAGAGTTGTAAACAAAAATAGTTGTAAACATAACTTGCTCCTTAAAAAATAGAAACATCTCTTCTTCTTCTTTATCGAATGATTTCAAGGCAACATATATTACATAATAATATAAATTATTAAAAAAATTCTCATTTAATATTTTAAGATTTTGAGTTGAAGTAGTTTTTAATATGGTATCAGAGCTTCAATAACCATAAGGTCACGAGTTCAATTATTACTGCTCTTTACTTGTGAAATTAAAATAAGTATAAGATAAAAAAAATTGGGCCTATACAATATCTACGCTTCAAGCTCAAAGAATTTTTGAGTGATAAAATATCATATGTTAGAGAATAATATAAACTATTAAAAAATTTATCACATAATACTTTAAAGTTTTGCATTGAAATAATTTTTTACAAGAAATATCTTTTCACTTCCGTCTTCTTTTCTCTTTTTGTTATTTTTTTTTAACTTTTCTTCGTGGTATCAAACATACCTGGACCAAAAACAATATTCATAAACAATAGTTGTTGATAACTTGATATAAATGGGGAGAAATTTTTTCACCTAATCAAAGATCTCAAACCTTGAAAATATAAGAAATAATCTTAGAAAACGTGTCTTATATGAACGAAGCTTAAAAAATAATAGTAATAACTTCCGCAATGAATAAAGGGTTTCATATTTTTTTATGTCACAAAGAATAAAATTATTTATTATATACACATAAAAATATGTGATTCGTGTGAGACTATGTTAAGAAAAAAATAAATAAAAAATATAAACGTTATATATTTTTATATGTATATAATATTGTAATAGATAATTTTATTTTCTATAACATAAAAGAATATTAAATCAATAAATAAAAGTACAAAACAAAAGAGAATAGCAAGACTGTAGATCGAAAACAAATTTAGGGGTCTTTAGGTCTCTGCGGTGCATACGGCATACTCGTGTTCCTTTTTAAAATAATAACGTGATTTATTATTAGGTGTAATATCTTATATTCTAGAAGATAATAATATCTTTTATATATCTCTAAAAGTAAGTCGGATTCATTTTTTTTTTCACATGGCCCATATGAATCTCACAATTTTTTTATGTACGTAAGAAGATAATTTTATGTATTATAATAAGTTATTAATCTCATGTTGTTTGAGATAGTTCTCTCATGTGTGTGAGATAAATATGTAAAGTCTACACTTTAAAATAAAAGAAAAAAGAAATAAAAAAAGCTAGCACAAAATTCGATAAATGTAAAAAATAAGATAGTTATCTTCAAAGAATGAGAAAAATATTTTCTTATATATATAAAAATCATCAAACCATTTATTTTTTTTATTATTTTAAAAAAATAAAAAAGGAAAGAAGTATTAATTAATTAGTTACATAACATACGTTAGATTCAGAGACAGCTGCGTTTTTTTTTTTTTTTTTGAAAATGAAAGAGACAGAAACGGCGACGGTTGCTCCGTATTCGGATTTGTACGATGCCAGCTGGTCTCCGCTAAGTCCAGCTGTGCTGCTCAGCTCTGCTTACTGACGCACAACTAAAAGCTAAACGAAACCCACGCACCCCACCCTGCTCTACAGCTCTACCTTTTTTTTTTGTTTCCTTATTTTAAATTAATTAATTAATGTATAAAAAATAAGTAGCATTATTTGCATTTTTGTTTTTTTAATCTTTTTCTAATCACTATTTAAATTAAAGTTTGTAGAGATGCATGTCTCGTTGAATTTTTTTTATTTTGATCAACTTCTTTTACGAACAAAATAGAAAACAATACTACATTCCCTTTTAATTTTATTGAAGAATAGTATACATCCTTTAATTTTTCTGGATGATATTATAAAAATAAACATTATTTCACATATTTTTAACATTTCTTACATAAATATCTCACATTTTTTATAATTTTCACATGTATTTCGTATATCTCACATATTTGCTAAATATTTTAAATATATAATAAAAAAATTATTGATGATGATCTTTAATAAAATCTGGGTCAAACTTAACCAGGCTGGATTTGAATTCTCTTGTATTAAAAAAAATGACATAGTCATATAGTGAATCATAACTATACAAAAATTGATCAATGTGGTAAAGGAAGAGAAAAAAAAATATTAAAATAGATAATTACAAAATCATAACCTACAATTATAATATTTTCATATGACCATATTATTAACTTTTTTAACATGAGAGAATTCATTTCCTAACA